AAATTAATAATATTTCTGTATTAGGAAACTCAGTTGACTATCCTTATAGATCATAGGTCGCAATCTTCAATGAGTTGTCCAATCTTAGTGAGAAAAGATAGTACTAGGTAGTAGGTACTTGGTGCGCTAAATTTAAAATCAATGCTACGGCCGTCTTTAAGTAATTTGTATACATTGTGACGTAGGTAATATTAGATAGTAGATAGTAGATAGTAGATAGTAGATAGGTACATATTACTATAGTATAATATTATAAGAATCAATTTCCATTTATTTCCTGTACATTATTGATATTATGTATTTATGTTTGTCGGAAGTCGTAACTTCACTTATAGAGCCATATACTCATATATTATACCTACCTAATTTATAAATTCAAATATAATATAATGCAACCACTATAATCATATTTCATAATACTGACCTGTATTATTTCACTAAACGACGACTACGTTATCCGTCATTTCTTCGTTCGTGGGATTACAAATACATTATGTTTTCCTCTCTAAGGTTCTTCATTGTCATCTATGAAATTTGTTAACAACTTGATTATGAACACGATGTGTATTCGGTCCTTAAACGCACTAGACTGCAGCAGTTTTAGTGTATTACTACAACACGAAGACTATACCTATGCATAGTAGGGGTAATGTCCTCGGAAGAAGGAGAGAAAACTAGATACTATAGAATTCGGTGCGTTCAATTTCCTTTCACTTAGTGTGTCATGAATCATAATGAATACAACACGCCACAATGCCTGCAGGTCACCAGCCACAGTAGTACGATTAATTACCTAACTGGTGATTATTAGAATTAGATATGGTAAAAGTTTAACTTCCTAACACAATTCGATTCAGATTACAAAATGTTTTGACAACTTGCACAAATAATATAGATAATTATAAAAATCAGGGAACTCATTCTGATGCAGTATATACCTAGTAAGTGTCGAGTGCACCTCGTCATTGAGTGTAGCCGTATAGGACATAATAGGACAATTTGTAATAATATGCCATAATATATATTATGTCAAATTTTAATTCGATGATACATTATTGTTTACAAAGAAAAACGATTCTGAGCAGAGACGGTCGGTTAGCCTATATTTTTAACTTTCTAAGGATATTTTATTTTATTATATATTTATCTATTCCTTCTAGTAATATATTTTACTATTGTTAATGCAGTAGATGGAATTAATTTTTGACAAAAACAGATCGCATCTATTATTGTATAGTAAAATTATTGGTAGTATATTATTTAATACAAAATAGGTATAGGTAATTATAGGTAAACCTGTGGCAGTTATTAACTTATAGAAGTTATAACTCATTCAGAAGTATCGAAGAACGATGCAGCAGCTGTTCACACCGTTTCGTAAAAAATAGCTTAAAATTAATCAAATATCTATAAGAATACATTTTCATTGTGTAAACTCAGCATAGAAAACTATAATAAATGAAAGTATAGATAGTACAGGAACATTTCAAATTTTTACAATTATGTTCTTTGAATAATAACAAAATAACAAGGAGGAAATCGTTATTTTACATGTGAATATCTATAATATAGAATATTAGAATGAATAATAACAATAATAACCTAACCTAACAATAATAATTTCTATACAATTTGAACTTAAATCGCTCATAAAAACTGTATGTGATTGTTAAGCTTTTTATTTTAATTTCCAGTAAAAACTTCTGTTATTCGTTTTTGTTCAAACATCAGATTTAAAATTTAAAATTGTTATCAATATTTAACTTCAAAATACAGGTAATATACAAATGTTGTGGGTTTTGGCAGTAAGTAAAAATTTGAACTTGAAAAGTTTTTTTTTTAAAGATGTCGAATTTTGATATTTTACATTCTGAGTGGAGTATGTTTGAATTGTTTGTCAAATATTCACTATAAACGTCGAATGTCGATAACTATCTCATAACACTTATATTCATGTTATTATATTGAATATTTGTATTATTCATTTTAGATTCTGAGGGGAGCGATAAATGTATTGATTTTAGAATGATGTGTGATTTTTTTGCAGTGTGTCAGTGTTTGTGTACCTACGTACGATAAGTAGGTAGTCAGAATAATATTCTTCGATTTTCAACTTCAGTATCTTTTCCGACGGAAATTTATTACTTATTTTACAAAATGTATTTAAGTATATCAATTGGTAATTTCGTATTGGTATTCACTATTAGGTATTTTATTTTTATAAGATTTTATTTCATGTCATCACGTCGCATTTACCTATCGACTGCCACGTCCATAAGATCAATCATTCCAGATAAATGACTGTTTTAAATTTTGAACGCGGGAAATGATTCTTTGGAATTTTGGATTCTTAAATTATTTAAACAGTGATGGATAGGTCTATCTAGGATTTCGATCCTCTTGTTAGTTATTACAGTATTACAGTTAAACAGTCATGCAGATATTTTATGATACTTTCCAATATGGTAAAACCTCTATGGCGTTCTTCGATACGCCGATACCTATCCACAGATAAAAATAATTTAAATATATTATATAGGTCAATGATATAGGTAGGCACTACCAATCTATCAAAGAAAAATTAACAATTATATTATTTTCTAATTTGTATAGGGAACTATGATACAAGTATACAACTAACTACGTTTATTATATCAAATGTAAAGATGTAATAAAGAACACAACGTTAATAAGACATCAGACCTTATCACGGCAGCTAAGTCTATGGGTTTCGAGATTATTCAAAACCGTGATCAAGACAAAACCAAATATGTATATGGTCATAGTCCATTGAAAGGAAATTGAGAAACACGCCAAACCTAATTCAGATTAATATAAATCACGATCTTCCATGACCGTGATATACATAATAAAAATAAAATGCAAAGCTATGGGCGCCGCGAGGGGAGTGCAAGGATTTAAAAAAAAATTGAGTGGTATTAAAAACATTTTATTTTACTAAATAAATTATGGTAGGTACTAGGACTTGAATCCATCTAGCGTTTCTTTTGGAAAAAATATCCTACGTTGGGTACTCATTTTGTTCAATAATTGTACAACTTGAAATTCTTTAAATTTATAAAATCAAAAGAGTAAATGAAAAAACTAGAATAATATAAGACGTATTCTGTGTTAAGAGGACGCTAATTCGCCAATACACCCACATGTGTTGTCTCCGTCTTACAAACGTACAACATATCAAAAACTGTTTTGCTCGAAATAGAACCACTCAACCTGTGGTCAAAGCTAAGCAACCAAATTTTCACACTATAAACAAAAGAACAATATCGTTTTTATATTTTTGATATCACAAATACAAGAAAAGTTCTTATTGCTTAAAAAAATAATTATTTCAAACTTGAGTAACTGTTGGTCACAAACTCACAAAAGATGAAGTAGAAAAATTGATAACATTCGAAAGAAAAGTACTGAGTCGCATTTTAGAAAATGGCGAATACAGAATATAATATCTATACAAAACTATGTGTATAGACAATAGACATGTAGTGAAACATAAAATACAATAGCCTAATCTTGTAAGAGGACGTCTATGTATTTTAAGAAGTGAAAACAATTTACAATTTTAAAATACTTTTGACTCGCTTCAAAATTAAAATATAATAAAAAACTCACGAATTGCCGTCTTACCTTTAGAATTTATAAGAGGTAAATTCACTCTAATTTTTAACCTAACGGAGCCAAACGTGATCTGCCGAGCGTACAATTTGCTATGTTACGCACTAGTAAGACAGAGACAACGCATTTACACATGCGGGTATGTCGAATAATGTCCTCTTAAGATCATTTGAAGTAGGTACTTAATTTCTCATTAGTAAAATGTAAGCTATATTATGGCACTATGCACACTTTGAGACAGAGTATAGATATCATATGGTTCTATTAATTCTATAATCTAATGTTTGTACAAGAACATCATTTGCAGACTTGCTGACTGTAGTAAGTACAATATATATAAAAAAAATAAATTGCAAGCCTTAAGACGCCACACCTGAATGTGTTGTCTCCTATTTCAAACATACACCATAGTAAAAAACTGTTTTGCGCGGGATAGAAGCCCTCAGGCCGTAGTTCAAGCTTAGCTAACTGCTAAGCAACCAAATTTTTCATTTTTCATTTTTCACACTGTCAACAGGCAATTGTACTTGAGTATTAAGATACATTTTAAGGACTCAAATCTGTAGGTATTTTAAAAATAACTTGCCACATACACGCAAATATTGTCTTGTATTAATATAGATAAATATAATACTTTTAATAACAAAATATTGATATAGGTAAATAGGTTATGCCATGTATCTTGTAGACGAACAAAAACATAGTTTTAGTCAAAATTAATTAAGGCTATTATATTGTATGACACTTTTTCTTATTATCTATACTCTGTTCAAAATAAGATTATGACCAGGCGGCGACCAGTTTTCGTTCCGCGACGGTCAGGTGCCATCTCCACTACGACAGCATGTCGGACGCTGCCAAGGAACAAAGCCACACCCTTGAGCACAACACAGCTGCCTGGTCATCATCTTCTTTTGAACAGAGAATAGTTGTTATTGACTATCTGTGTATATTACATAATCTATGTTAACCTCAATACATTTACCATTTTAAATAATTTAATTTTTATTTCTCATTTAAAAATAAGGTCTGGGGATCATACCATTTGTTTACCTCAACACTTTAAACTAGTGTAACTACAAGATTATGAATAAAAATGATAAGACAAAAGTAACATTAACATAAAACTTTGTAAAATACACAAATTAGCTTTCCATGTTTGTCATTTTAGCTTGTTTTTAGAAATTTGAACAGTCCACTAATAATAAATAATACAATTCTTATAATATATATTAACTATATGTACTATAAAGAGATAGAAAAAATGTAAAGCATTTTAAGAACTTTATTTATATTTAATTATAATATTTCATAATTTTATTTTTATATCAAAAAATACAAATTATTTATATTTTTTTTATACAGAATTTTTAAGGTTTTTTTTTATAACACTTTTTATGTTTACTTCTACTTTTATACTTCCAGATACGTTTTGAAAATTTTCAAGTGTCTCAAAATGTACCAATTAATGGTATTAATATTTTAGAAATTGTTTTGAAATTTGAAAGGATAAAGTTTAATTAATTAACCATTGTGTTAATAACAATTATTTAAATTTGACATAGTGTATAGTTCTTATAGTATAATTTGTAGTTTAACATAATGAATTGCATTAAAAGTTATGTTCACGGGATATACATTATTACTTATTAGATATGGTACAATAACATCTTAAATATATCCTTTAGTGCTTTTCATAATTAATTTATTAACTAATTCTTGATATGTTGTTTTGTTTTTACATAAGGCAGTCAAAGTAGGTTCACCACCAAGATCTCGCAATTCAGTTAATCGTTCCTAAAAATTAAATATAAATTATATGCATTTATTATTAATTCAGTTCAACAAGTATTTAAAAGCTGACCTGTAGAGTAGAAATACTGTGAGTAAATACACGTGGAGTACTCAATATATGTGAAGGTCTGTAGCCTTCTTTGAGGAGAAAATCCAATATTTCTTTCAATTTAGTAGGACTAACTCTCAATGTTGTAGGATATTTTGAACTAATATAGCGAATAGTTTTTTCTGGTACTTTCAGTCTTTTGGCTAAATATTGTGCAGTAGAGTCTTTATTGAGAACTACTCTATTTTCTTGTTTTATCTCTAAAGTCCTGAAAAATAAATATATTGGATTAACTAAATACTAATGTTAATTTAAAAAATGTTAATTAATACCTTTCAAATACTTCAGTTTTACATCGTAACATCCAAGGCTTAATTGTTAAATTTGGCGTTTTAGTAAGAGAAATTCTGTGTTTAATTTGATCAATGCTGTACATAAATATCCAAGTATCTTTCCAAATATCATTTTTATCAACATTATTTTCTTAAAAATATATATATATATTTAATTAAAACCAGAAATTAAATTGCAAATTAATAAATTACCAATTAAAATTTGATAGATGTGGTGAAGAGTTGTAAAGTTCCGTGTGAATAGAAATTTGTAATGCATCAAATGGTAACATACTTCTTGGGGATTTTTCTAAAAATACAGATTAGGGTTATTATAATAATGTTAATATCTGATTTTTAAGTTGTTGTTATATAATATAATTTTGATTTTATTTATTATCCATGTACATACAAAATAGAGGTTAGATATTTTTTTGATTACAATTTTAAAGTCTGAAAAAATGTGTTCAATTTTAACGTTTATTAAACCACAAAAAATATGAACTTTATTTTCTTTGAATTCTATCATATTAAATAAATAGAATTGTATCGTCTCATCATCAGACTATATGAACTCTCAAGACTTAGCCGTAAAAATTTAACATTTTATAAATTTTTGTGATTTAGACTTAAAAGTAAAACTAAATTCTCTTGTACATTTATAATATAGGTAGTGTAGTACAAATTGAAAGTGAATTATGAATCATTATAAAATTTATTTATTCAAACCTCAAAAGTAGATGCAAAATAATAGACTCTGTTTCCATGAGGCACAATTGTTGATTCTAATTGGGTTTTTTTAGTAAGATATACAAGTTTTGTCATAGGCATTTGAAGGAGTACAAACAAATCATCCATTTTTTTAGGATTCCATCTTTTAAGTAATGTCAGTCCATTATTTAAATTATCTGAAAAAAAAACAATTAAAATCATTATAAACAATTTTTTTTATGATACTTTTGAATTCTATATACATTACTTTAACACTAACTATTTATTAAATAACCAAACAACCTAATGGTACTAAAGTGTATTTTTACTCTCCTCCAAATTTGAACTGTTGTAATTGCTCTACCAAAAGTTTATCTTCTGTACCATGGATATATTTTATACTAATACTTAATATTGTATGTAATAGTTATGTTTCATATTAATCAAAGCATTGGTTCTACCACCATATACTAATACTATGTTTTCAGGAGGGGACTTCCACTGAAATATTAATTTGGTACCTAAAGTTCAAACACCCATCACATTTTCCGTGACTTTTAGTGCTGATAATACCTATACAACTATATTATAATTAATATATACATTGAATTACACGTCATATATTATACTAAATAATTTTGAACTAAAAAAGTAAAATTAGTAGGGTTACCTACGGGGATTAAATGCAGTGATTTTTTGTTAGACAGAAAATGTTTATGTCTAACAAATTCGTAACATAAGAGTTGAGATATGTTTAATATATAAAGTATCAATTGATCTAGAGAAGCAATAGGTAAGAAAACAGATTAAAATTTCAAGTCTACTTGAGATTGAATTTCCTACATTTTCAATGTTGTCCTCTCAAGGCCTAAATCAAATGGACTAATGAAAAAAAAATGAATAAAAGTTACACCATTTCTTAGGCTGGTTCATTTTTTATAATTTTACTTACTGAAATTCATTTTGAAAATCCATTCATTGCTAAGAACTGCATTAGAAGTGAGTCCATTTTTAATACAACAATCAAATTTCTCATAATGGTTAGGACTACAATTCATTTTAAATTGAACTTCATCTTGCATAGAAAGATCTTGCTTTCTATCAACAATGGTACTTAGATATTTTCTTAATCTAATAACATTTGAACATTTTAATGTCTTAAACATATTCGAGACTAACATTTTGCTGTACTGCGTTTAACAATAATTGAATATTAAAATAAATTAGAACTTGAGTATCGTAAAATATAAACGTAGCAGTTTAAAATTGTACAAAATACAACAATACGAAGTTATATGTACACGGAGAACTAAATTCCAAAACCAAATGAATGAGTTTTGTAGTCTCGTATTCTCATTATCACGATTAAGTCGTATCATAAAAATCATGATAACAATAAAAATATCATATCTACAAAGATAAGTTTTTTTTAATATGAACCACAGATACCTATATAAACTTTAATGTATGCTTATACATTTGTGATAAAAAAACCACGATTTCAGATACTGTCTTAAATCGTGATAAAAACCACGGCTATAGATCAGCGTTTCTTAAACTGTGTTCCGTGGAACCCCAGGGTTCCGCGGAGGTCACTTCAGGGTTCCCCGAAACTTGTGGTTTTTTATTCAAAATTTTAAATTTTGACACATAATTATAACTTTTATTGCAAATATTCCTTACATAAAATGACGCATTGAAAATATTGAAACAATGCAGTGGTTCTAATTGTCGAGCTGTAATAATTTATTGTTAAGAGCTCAATAAAAAAAAGCTAAAAAAAGTTGGGGGTCCACGTTGAAAGTGCACATAAAAAAGGGTTCCACGGATAAAAAAGTTTAAGAAACGCTGCTATAGATACTCAAGATCTATAAAGAGATCCTTATAGATCTTTATAGATCTTGATAAATACTATACTATCTATCACGGACTAAGGAATAAAAAAATAATATAACTAATATCTTAGTCCGTGGTATCTATAGCTGTGATAAAAACCATAGACTTACAATAGACCTTACAGACCTTAGACTAGATAAATCACGGATAGGTAATAATTTATTGTGATGGTTCTGAGACCATTTATAAATTTAAAAATGAAAAATAAAAAATAAATTTTAAATTTACGTCAGTTTTTTTAAATTTGTACATACTACCAATAACGATTTTATTTATTTTGTTGTATTCTAAAAATATTATTTGTGGGTTCTTGAAACTTTGGCTGCAACTTGTTTGCGCACATTTTATAATTTTTACCTGAAAAATCGGAACTCATTTGCGCACACGGTTATCCTAAATGTACAACTGGTTTGCGCACACGAAAATTATAGGCTATATGACATAAGCGCCAAAGGTGCAAAAATGCAAGGCTGGGCATTAACGAGTTAAAAAGTTAAAGTTAAGTTAATAAGTTAATTTTATATTAACTTTTTAACTTAACTAGTTACTTTTGGCTTTTCATTAACTTAACTGTTAACTGTTAAAAATGACATATCATTTGCGCCAAAATAAATGTTTTATATAAGTAGTTTTTCTAAATTGATATATCTTATAAAAATGATATTATATATGTATACTATATTATACTAATATTATTTTCTATAAATAGTTATTTGAAATAGTCATTTTTAACCACACCTATGAATATATTCATAGACAGTCCTAAGTCTGTTAAGTAAGAAGGAAAATGTATGTAGGTACTTTAATAATTTACTTATTAAGCGGGTATTAAAAGTTCAGGCCAAAAGGTAACTGTGCGCAAACCACGTGCATGTTTACGGCTCAACTGTTCCCAAACGAGTGGTAGTTTTGTGCCCAAAAAAGTTGTCTTTTTGGTATTTGTGCGCAAACTAGTACCGCCCGAAACTTTAAAGTAGGTACCTACCTACTTATATTGTTATATTTCATGGGTATCGAATGACTAATAATATCTACCTACTACCTACATTCAATGCTATTTTCTAATGCGATGTTTTCGGTAAAAAATAATTCAACCTTCTGTAATACTAAAATAGCAATAATATCATGTTATTCTAGCTGGATACATTATTAAAATTAGCAAAACTACCAACTTTGGCTCCCCAATAAAATCCTCAGTTTACGAGGATACGACTCTGATATGAGCAATCTCATTTAAAATTTTAGAGGAACATCACCATAAAATAAAACAGTATTTTTATAAGTTTTTAAATTTTGAGATTTTGATAAATGTTGTCAAATTTGAACTTAAAAAGCTTATGAAAAAATGTCGTACCCACGTATAGATCTTTAATAATTATCTGCTGCTATTTTAACTACAGACAATTTGTAAGGGAATCTTAATTGTATTACATTGTCAAGCTTTTTAACTGAGCAAACATTTTTTTACCAACAATAATTTTAAAAAACATAATAAAATTCGAAATTTCCTTATACCTATAAATAGCTCAAAAAGAATCACCATATTTAAAAAAAATTTTGGGGCAAAGAAATTGCTAATATAAACATTGGAAGAAAATGTTTGAAAATATTTTTTTTAGTTGTACTACAAAAAAGAGGGTAAGTGGATGTCACTCTGCTTTACACTAATGGTCTAGAAAGTCGCTGTAATGAATCATTGTATACGAAAAACGATTCTGAGAGGAGACGTCTTGTCAGTCTAGGATATTTTATATTCTTATGACTTATTATTAATACAGTAGCCGGTAAGTGAAATTAACATTATTCTTATAAATTATCAGTAAATAGGTAGTAATACTGGAAAAATATTATATATACTTATGTAAAATTGGGCTGTTTTGGAACCGAATAACAACAAATTGATTAAAATAGTTAATCTTCAGGTTAATGTGTAATATCGTCTAAATTTGAACTTAAAATAAGTATAAAAAATATGTGTTTATGTAAATTTATAGATTTTTGGTTACAGAATTAACTACTTACGTATAGAACCTTGTTTGAAATGTTCAATCCTTGGCTATATAAGTTGAACATTTAATACATTTTTAACTATAAAATCAATATTTTTAAATTTATATGTAATTATATTTTAAAAATTTTTGATCGAGCTTACATTTTTGTATAGACATTTATAGAAAAAAAACTAATAATAATCGAAAATGTTATATACTTATAAATAATTCAACATGAGTCAAAATACTTTGAAAATGTTATGGTGTATAGAAAATGCTAACGAAAATATTTGTTGAATATTTCATGAATTTATGGTAATTTTTTACAGTTACACTAAAAACCAAAATCGAATTTTTCCAAACTGGTTTTGCTTAAAAATTGCAGTGTATTCTAAATTGTTTGTTTGTTTTTCCTGTCACTTTTGAAAAGTTTTGGGAATTTAATCTCCCGAATACACCAACGAGATACACTTTCCTACCAGAAAAGTTGCTGTTGAAGAAAATTATAGCACTTTTACTGCTCCAAACCGCACGATGACAGACACAAAAATAAAAAAATAAATAAAAAACTACCCATCATTGAAAAATCAATAAATTTATCGGTCCGGTCAGAATAAAAAGTAAATATAAGTAACTTAGGTACTATTATAAAAACAAATATCATCTAATTCAGTTGTAATATAACTTATATAAGTTAATTTTATAAAAAAAAAGGAATATAATTTAAATCTATGGGTTTAGGAAAAAAATAATATAAAACCACAATAAAATTAATTAATTCATAACCTTGAAAAAAATGGAACTTGTTAAGTTCCTTATAAAAAAAGGTGACTCGTTAAAAACTTTTAACTTCCTTAAACGGATAGAAAACTTAAACATGGACCTATTATTAACGAACTTCAACAAGCAGTAGAAAAGAAAATCGAAGCAATATTAATTAATATTAAAATGTTTAAAATTTAACCACTTAACATCAGTGAATATGATGAATATTATAATTATCTATGTGAACTTTAGTATAAGTTTTATTTTTATTATTTAGTATTATTCGTTTTGTAACTTTAAAACAAATGTTTCATTATAAATTCCCAAAATATTCTATTACAAATGGATTTTAGATGGAAAATTATAGTTGTGTTAATTTAAAGAGATGTCAATGTAAATAAATTAAAAATTGCATTAATATTTAATACATTTTATATATTCCCCCCCCCTCCAAAAATTTGGTCTGTCTACGGGCCTGGAGGGGGTGCAAGGACAAGGACCTTTCGAACATCGGCTTATTTACTATAATAATGTTATTGTGACATAACCCAAGCATAATACGCAGTGTTTGCGTCGTCAACGGTACAAACAAACGATAACAAACGTCTGCTGTTCGTTGTGCTATCACTTTTTATATATATTCCCATGGTTTCGTCATCGTTCAGCTTATATAATATCTCCATGGTGATGCCTCACGGGAAACATCGGGAGCAGCATCATTCGCCATCCGTGATTGTTTACAATATTTTTTTCTTGTTTGCAAGTCTATGTCCGCCGGTCGGATTATTTACAAAGACACTTTCTTCTACTTTACATTAAAATAATCGTATAACAGACATTTTTTTAAAATTAATACAACATACTATTATTGCGTCGACATACTTAATTTACTACTGTTCTCTATTTCGTACTTATTATTTTCGTCATTATTGTTCATTATTAATATTATTATAATTTTTTGTTAATTGGAATTATCTTTATTAGCACAATTTTTCATTTATTTTAAATTCTTTTTATTCTCATTTTTAATACCTATCATAACAGTGTAAATATTTGTGTTTGTGTCCTGTATTTTCAGTTTATGATATTTATCGTCTATTTTGAAAATAAAATCTTTTAAAATGTTCAAATTGGATTCAGTTCAGATGCCTCAACAACTCAGCCAGGCCGCACATGATCGTGAGAAAGTATTTCAATGGATTGTCGAACTATGTAACACTGAAACCAGAGAAAATGCTCTTTCCGAGCTCAGGTAATAAGAAGACCTTTTGTTAATAAAGTAGTGCATTTTTAAATTCTTACAAAGTGTTTTCTAACATTGTAGTGCTGTAACTGAGCCTGAACATTTTTTAAATCACAATTTTTTTGGTAGATTGTTAGTGAGGTTGTATTTTTACCTAGCTGTTAATAATTATGATGATAACTCTAGGTACATGTAAAGTTTAAATTGTTGCAGAACACAATTAAAATTATGTTATAGGTATTACAGGGATCTTTCAATAATTTGATATAGTTTGGTTATTTTGTTGAAATATAGTTGTTTGAGTTGTGTTTTAAATTCATTAGTAATTCTTATACATTTTGTGTAATCAATTTAATACGATTTATTTACTTGAAAAATATACATAGCATAAAATAATTAAAATCAGCTAAATACAATAAACAAAAAGCGGGTAAGTGGATGTCTCTCTGTTGTACATTAGGTGTCTAGGAGG